GTCCCGGGACCATGTCCCATATGCACCGTTTAGTTGAGGCAGCTCAACGGTGAGACAGCTTAAAAAAATCATTTTAATTCAATTTCAAATGAGAAATGCATTTATAAATGGCAGGAATACAATTGTTCTCGTTTTTCATTTTTCACAATTGGAGTGGCATACGGGCACTTCCACAGCAGAAAATGAAGAGGTGCCCGAATCCCGTCCAAAAATGGCAAACGGAAGGAGGCTCGTTCAGTTTCTCCTGAAAAACGCCTGTTGGGGGAACAAGAGGGTCGTTGAACTAGCTGTCTCGAAAAAAGGATACAGCTAGTTCAACGGAAAGTGGCGAGGGTAGGGGTAGCAGTATTCGAGAGAAAGGATTTATTTCTGTTTTTTGATGTAAGAAAAAGCAAAGATGGACTCTATTGCCCTTTTTATTAGAAACGGACCGTTAGATGAATTGGACGACTAGCATCTCCCTTGTCGCGTACAGTCACACAGGCTCGAAAACCCCACGTTGGACTAGCTCAACGGAGCTAGTGGGACAAGGTCCCGAAGGACAACTCTCGTGACTTTCCGTTGAGTTTGCTATCTCCTTTTTTTTTTTTTTTTTTTTTTTTTGCTATCTCCTTTTTTCGAGACAGCCAGCTCAACGACCCGACCCTCTTACAAATGGATCCCACTAGCCCCTATTGTTCGTTTCTGACCGTTGATCTTCGAGGGTAGTGGGATCTGACCTTTATTCCCCCCAAAGGCGTTTTTTTTTTTTTCCTGGAGAAACTGTAAGAGCCTCCTTCCGTTTTTTGCCATTTCCGACCGGGGGCGAAGTCCCACTAGCAGAGTTGAGCTACGTAAACGTCTGAATCTGGATGTGTTTGTGGAGAGTACAGTTCAGAAAACTCAACACCATTTCTGCACATCTCCACAAAAGCGTCCACATTCAGGCGTTGAGGTAGCTCAACGCTCCTATTGGGACTTTGCCCCGGGATTCTGGCAACTCACTCTTCATTTTCCTCTAGGCACTTTTCATTGTCTGCTGTGGAAGTGCCCGGATGCCACTCCAATTGTGAAAAGAGGAAAAACAGAACGATTGTATAGGTGCCATTCCTAAATGCATTTTCCATTTTCAATCGAATTAAAATGAACATTTTCAGCTCTCACACCGTTGAGTTGCCTCAAGTAAGGTGCAAGTGGGACATGGTCCCCCGTGAGAACCTCTGGGAGCATTACCCAGTTTCGCTTACGGGACCAACCCCCCCAAAAGAGTGCTTAGCAACAGAAGCATCAACCCAGACCTATCCGGTTGCCTGACCGTGGTTTTCATTTTTTGGTTTACCATGTTTGTGTTCAGGACGACGCGACCCC